CGGCGCGGTGCGGGCACACGGCATAGTATTATAACAATAACATCGATTCAAGTGTATCCATTCATCTACAGCCTCGGAACGCTTACGTTGCAACGTGGTCGAGACTCGAGACACGCCAGCACAAATATGTGTACGTAGTCTTTCAATGTGAATGTAAATACGTCTCAATAAAGTAGGTACTGTGCGTAGGAAATCAAATCGAAGTACTATACAAATATTTGAAATTAAACTGAGTGTATGGATTTCATCGCATTTATAATTTTAACTTTTTGTTTCCCGACGTCTCGGGTGATTTACAGCACTCGTCTTCACGGGGTGAATGAGCTGTGGCTGTGACTCCCGATCTCATAGTTAGCCCGCCTACCTTCAGCGTTTGAATATTATATTTTTCCCGAAATGTCGGGAATTAAAAACTTAAAATTGAATATAAAATGCGTAAAATATTTTCATTTAATGTACAGCGTAAATATAAACAACCATTACATACAAATATTATTACTACATTCCCACATTCCCAGTTGTTGATGTAAACTGAACTAACAATAAATTATATGACGTGTCCCTGGCGACCGGGTCCGGAGAGGGGTGCGGAGGGGAGGGGGTGCTGCTAGGCTACGATAAGGCACACTTCCGAGCGTTCCGACCCATTAGCCGCGGCGCTCCACTTAGCGCCACCAGCAGTACCGCAGACATGAGATCGCACCGTATGCCATGAGCCCTCGTCACTTCTTCCGCATCTTATAAAAAATGGTTTTATTAACGTAACATATGTAATAAAAATGGTAGAATAAAAAAGGTAGCTCAGATGTTGATTGCGCGCCGTAAATTTTATAGTTACAATTAACTATATTAGTTACACTAAAAAATGAGGACAGCCGCAGTAGAATCAGAGTAAATGGCATAGCCCAATGAATTAGTAAGCTGAAATGGCAATGGGTCGGCCATGGAGTGGTAGTTTCGTAACGGTAGACGAAGTGTAAGGCGCGGCTATTTTGATGGTCCTACCACCTGGTGAGACATGCGGTGAGTCGAGGTGGCTCAGGACCGTGCTTTGTGGCATACCTTGGTAGGAGGCCAATGTTCAGCTGTGGACATGTGAAGGGCTGTAATGATGATGATGACGATGATGAAATTTCACATTACGCTTGTAAGCTTGTACCCCGGTCACAATGTGTTGCACGTGCTTGGTGATTAAGGAAAACACCGTGATAAAACCTGTGTGGTTGAGAAATAAATGTTTTGAGTACGTACATGTGAAATTCATCCCCTCGTGACCATGGGTTCTGTGAAGTACCGACTCAAAACGTCGGAATGTAAGCTAACACACGCGATAAATTTTGTAAAATATTTTTTACGAATTTAACTTTTAAATAACAAGTTAACATTTAAATAAAAGTATTCTTTTATTTAAATGTTAACTTGTTATTTGAGTTGGTGTCAGGTGTTCAGCTGCAGTGGTCATGAAAAATACGCTTGTCGAAATTTTACAACAACGATTTTTCTTTAACGAATCGACCGATTTTGATGTGATTTGCGGCAATAGATGTTGTTTTTTAAGTTAAAAGTTAATTAGATTTTAAAGTTATCATATGTTAGATACTTACATTCGTTTTAAAGTTATCTAAAAAAATGATGATTATTGAATGAATTGAATGAAATGATTCAAATTCACGTGAAATCTAAATAAGGCAATAGAACTCTTTCGCGTTTGAATCGTTCAAGTCGTTAAAATTTTTTAAAAGGAGATTGCTTCCTAGAACCTTAAAACGTAAAGATGTGATGGGAACTCAATATAATAAAACAAATAACTTCCCGATTTTTTGAAAATCGTTGTTTTCGTAGTGGGAAGTTAGAAATAGAAATATAGAGAATGACGTGATTTAGACGCGTTGTAATTCTATTTACATGTGTAGTTTTCGCATAAGCATAAGAAATCATGAAAGATTTGTTTCGTCATAATAACATTCTCACCGCGTTAGTGTGGAAAGCTCTCTCGTCTCACGGCGAGCGGTGAGCTGCGACTCAGAGTCGAGACACAAAGCTCCCGGAACTAATCTGCCTGTGCCCCTGCTATTGTTTAGCCGCAATATGCGCGCAAGTACTGAGTTGGCCTAATAAACTCGCCTAGCCCATTAACCTTAAGCAGCCTAGCTCTAACGTTCGTACATGACTTCTGGTCGCCAACACAACAATGAAATGAAAAATGTGTCCGGTTATTGTAATTATTTGGTTCCGACATAGCATCGTATCGCTCTGGAATAGTCGCTTGCGAGCGTGACTATGATGGTAGGTGCAGCGCTCAGTTGAACTTTTCGAGTTTATCTACTAATATTAATACTTAAAGTTAATGAATTATTTGAAATTTAGATTTTTTTGCTAGCAAATAGGCATTCCATGTTAGTCCTCACGGTTGACAACGCATCGGCATTTTGATTCGCAAACGAGGATAGATGTAGCAGTCTACAGCAACCACTTACCAGGTGGACTGTATCCTCGCTTGTCACCCTTGTCTTATATCCTTTAAAATCAAAAACACAAAAATCAAATAAGTACAATGAATTTATTCATCATTTATATTAACAGTGTATTTTATATGTATCATTTTAAGATACTATTTTATTTCTACTGTTTCAATAACACTCAAAGTTAAGTACTTTATGTCGAGTAAAATATGCTGTAGTTGTAAAAAATTATGGTGTGTTACTAAATAAATATAAAATATTGTAGTGCCTGTGTAACAATACTCATTACCCCATATTGTCCCATATGGGGTATTGCGTATGACGCAAAAGGGAATCAAATCGGGATATAGGCAGCAGCGTCTTCCAAATAATAAGTTTTAAATATAAAACCGCGGTCGCCAACCCGCCTGCCAAGCGTGGCACCTGTGGCAAACATTCCACTGCGAGACAATCTCTGGGGGGGGGGGCTATTTAGCAGTGGAATTTTGATGATAGGTGGTAATGGTAATAGTTACTGATGCAACGGAAGTGTCATAACGGAAGCAAAAACGGAAACAGAAGTCAAAAGTAAATTTCAGCAGAAACAGAAACGGAAACGGATGCAGAAGCGGAAGTGTAAATACTATGTATGAATGTACTTCTTTTAATTTATAACAAATATAATTTTTATATTAAATTAACATTTAAAATTAAATAGCGGTAAGTTATATTTTATGACCTAGAAATCCATTTCGGTGTCATTCATGTATAAAAATAATTTCCCTAAATAATAGCTCTCTGATGACGCTTCTTGGAGGAGCTGTTACCTAAATATTGGCGAACTAACTATTTGTGTGCATTTATACCACATACTCCTGAAGGTGGATTACGTCTATAAAAGAGATTGTCACTCCTGTTACTGGTGCAACCTGTCTTCCAACACTTGTAATGATAAATTATTCATAATTGATGACGTCGAATGGACTTCATTCTCAATTTGAGGATGGCACCTTTGCGCAAAGGTATGCCGTCATCAAAGTTCCGTTATGAAAGTTGCGGAAATAGAAGCAGAAACGGATGTCAAAAAGCGTGCAGAAGAAACATGCAGAAGCAGAGGCCTGTTGCATCACTAGTAATAGTGCTTCAGATAAAACACTTGACTTATACGAGATTAACCTAGTGTAGATAAATTGCACTAGGTCTATTGGATCTGAGCACATATTTCCCTTCATAAGTTCTTTGCACGTCTGGTGCGAGTGAAACGACCGGCGTCGTTGGCTCGGTCACGCACGTTGGCGCTTCGCTTCGGGTTTCATTTTTCCCTGAATTCATTGTAAAAGCTTAAGTCATTCATATACGAATAAGTAAGCTGTAACTGTTTGCTTGCCACAAGAATCACACCAACATTATGCTGCTATTTTACGCTGGTATTTTGCGAGAGCGTGATTATTAATAACCGTGCTACAACTCTAAAATGTGCGTATGTATACATCATTTTATTTTATTACGCGTATCGTAGCTAATTAACTTTTAACATACAAAACTATTATAAAACTATTATACAAATTTATAAATGAAAGTGAAATGTCCGTTTGTATTTTTTTATAGAATAAGGGTGACAAACGAGCATACAGTCCACCTGATGATGCTGAAGTGGATGCTGTGGCCCATAGGCAACTACTACATTTGTCCTCGATCAAGAATTAAAAAAAAAGGACTAAAATGGAATGCCTTGTTTCCAGTAAAAAGGAGACCCTTTTTACTGGAAACGAGGCACTCCATTTTCTCTACACTCACCATTCGAAACACAGCAGTATTAAGCTACTATTTTACGCTGGAATTCTGTGAGACAGAAATCCAGCGTTCGAGTGAGCACGAATGGGTCGGGCCGACCCATTCGTGCTACAACCATGTACTAATAGCGGCAGCGTGGCTCTACCACGTATTAATGTAATGTTGAAATATCAGTTTTCTACTAAATACATATTCTGTTGTAACAAAATAACAATTTTTGAAAGTTTTTGTCAGTCGGTCTGTCTATCTGTGTTTGTTTCGGCTCATCTCCGAAATGGCTGGATCGATTTTGACGGGTTTTTTACTGGCAGATAGCTTATGTTATAAGGAGTAACTAAACAAAAAAAATCATGAAATCCAATCGTAATCCCGCGGGCAAAGTCGCGGGGAACGGTGAGTCTTCAATATAGTCAATTACCGCAAAGCAACACCTGATTCTATAATTATTTACATTTATTGTTGGGTAAAATATATAGCGCGAAAGTAAATATTAAAAGGTGTCGAGGTAGACCGAGACTAACTTTCGAAGACCATGTAAGCAAATTACTCGAAGAGGGGAAGGTCAAGAGTACTCGGATACCTAGACGTGCATGTATGAAGAAGTGAATGAACCTGAAAGAAGCGAAAGAGGTATGTAAGGATCGTGACACTTGGCGATCTGTTCTCTCTGGCTACCCCGTTAGGGATTGTGCGTGAAGATAAGTAAGTAAGTATTGTTGGGTAAATAGCGCAGTGGTTTGACGTTGTGCTTGTGCTTGTGCGCAGGTCCGGCGCGGTGTACTCGCGCTGCGCGTACTCCGCCGGCTCGCCGTACTTCGGCAATGGCGCGGACCTCTCCCAGCCACAGATGTGGACCTCCAGTGCGGGTGAGATTACTGCTTTACTTGTTATCTTACTGTCCCAGAAGTAGGGTAATGTTGTATTTGCAAATACAGTATGTATATTGCATCTGCAAACACAGTCAAAAAAAGAGCGCAAGGTTTTTTTTTTCGGAAATTTTTTTAACGCAGTCGGTTTCTTTTAATGATTCTCTTAACCATTAAGATAATTAATAGATCAATGACCGTGTAGTGGCGCTGTAACAACATCCACTTCCCTACATCATCCCGTGGGTGTCGTATGCGGCGACAGAGGGGAACCACAAAAGATCAAATTTTTTGGCGGACTCGACGACTTCAGGCCGCCCAAACAAGTCGGTATCTGAAAAGGCTTTAGTACCATAGACTAAAAACATACTCTACGGCATGGGGTACACAGAGGAGTATAATCTGCCAATGCCTTCCGTGTCTGAATTATAATAAGACCTTGTATTACGTTGAAATTTGGGCGTTGCTGCAGTCCCTTTAGCGGTGTCAAGTTAACTGTCGGCATATCGAAGTGCCGAAGTGTTTGTACAATAGGATTACGATGCCTACCCGAGTACAAAACCAGAGTACGAATACTACACAGCTGCAGAGATATGTAAGACAGGGTGACATTACATCCTCCAAAACTCTTCACCTCTGCATTGAAAGACTTTAAAATACGATTGTACAACTAGTGCGTGTTTTATTATACTGGCGTAGATTATCAGACCTTGATGAACGATCTTAAAGTCAAAAAAAGAAATGAATCGAATCTGTCTATCAAAAATGGAAACTATAGAAAATATTTTTGTTCAGCACAGAAATACAGCTGACCAGGCATGTCTATTTGGTGGCAGAAAGTGCTAATGGTCACCTACCCTTTTTTATAGGATAAAGGTGGCACACGAGCACACAGTCCACCTGATGATAAGTGGTTGCTGCGGCCCATAGACATCTACATCTATCCTCGTTTACGAATAAAAATATAGATGCGTTTGTCACTCGTGAGGACTAAAATGGAATGCTTCGTTTCCAGTTAAAAGGGTCTCATGTTCTCTACACTCACCATATATAACACAGCAACCTTAAGCTGCTATTTCACGCTGATATTCTGTGAGAGCGTGGTCCTTCACCGGTCGCGTCGACTCATTCGTGCTACAACTGTAATACTAATATAGCTGCAGCATGGCTGTAGCACGTAAACAAACGGACCCCGACAGAAATATAAACAGAAAAGAAGTACCAACACATTTCAATATATCGTGTGTTTCGAATGGTGGGTGTATTGAACCGAACACTCTTTTTACTGGTAACCAGGCTTCCATCTTAGTCCTCAGGGACAACACATTTACATTTTGATTCTTCAATGACGATGTCTGTTAGCTATGGAACCTACAGAGCTTGATAATCTCCGTGCTCGTACCCTTCTTTTATAGAAAAGAGCTACCTCTCTTTGATTGTTCTTTATTCAATAATCTGTCCAGGCGGTTCGCCGAGCTATAGCGGCAGTGTGCTGGAGGAGTACGAAGCGGCGGAGGGTGAGGGAGCGAACGCCGCGGGCGGTGGTGGGGGCGGAGGATGCGCAGGGGGCGCCCTGCCCGCCTTCAGCGCGCGCTTCGGAGGAGCCTTCGCTGCCCGTCCGCCCGCCTACGCGACCGCGCCGCTGCCTGCAAACTACACGCACCAGGTGAGATTCTAATGTAAACACAGTGTCAGGATTTATTTGTGTCATCACTGCTGTAAGGGTAATTACATTAGTGGTTTCTGCGGCTAAGCGGCACTGGACTCACCCCTGTGTTTACGTTTGTGGACTATTAGAGCCAGAGTAATTACTAATTACATCTTGGGGGGCAACGAATATGAGGCCTTTTTAATTTGAAGTTGGTTTCAGGCGTCCATGTGCTGCAGTAGCCCCCCCTATTAGTTAAGTACAATAGTACTACACACACACAGACATTCAAATGTCATCATTACACTCCGTCTCGACTCTACTGCTGAACATAGGGTCTCCTATATATTGAAACTTATATTGAATTCCTCAATGCTTCCTCAGGTCAGGTCGACATTTAGTGGCAGCTTTCTTCATTTCCGAAATCGTGCGGCGGTTAGAATTTGTCGTTGATTCTTTCCCTATCGATTTTAGATTGTATAAAATGTGTCTCTCTATCTCCACTTTAGCTCACAATAAATTTTATACGCGTTAGAGCTACGCTGCAGCTATATTATGGGTGTAGCTCGAATGGGTCGGCTCGACCGGGGAACTACCACGCTCTCACAGAATACTAGCGTAAAATAGCAGCTTAATACTGCTGTGTTTCATATGGTTAGTGTAGAGATCCAGAGACCCTTTTTTATTACAAACGAGTCATTCCATCTTAGTCCTCAGGGGTGACAACGCATCTGCGATTTGATTCTTAATCGAGGATAAATGTAGATGTCTATGTACCACAGTAACCACTTACCATCAGGTGGACTGTGTACTCGTTTGTCACCCTTATTTTATTTAAAAAGTCGGCAGTGGTCTAGAAGGCTATTGCCGTTATGCTGATCTAATGGCATAGGATATCCTTCACCATCACTACGAACTCTAGATTTTTTCGCATTGACTAGTCTTTTAATTTACCCTTTTCGGTGTACTAATAATCGTAATGTCTTCTGAATAGTTTACATAAAAAACTTCATCCCTTTTTCATTATTTTACATTTCTAAGGAATAACTTCTGATGACTAAAACCAATTTATTAAAACAAGGATGATCAAAATCATTTTACTATTGACGAATATTTCTAGAAATCGGGGGAATTTTAGTATTTATTTAAATCATGAACTGATCGTGTAACCGCGAAGTGAGAGAGCGAGCAGCGCAGTAAGGCAGAGTGCGGCATGTTGCAGGAGGTGTGGACACTGGAGGGGCGTCGCCCGCAGCTCTCCGCTGCCGCCAGCCTCAGTGCCAGTGAGTACTCACCACCACCCTACCGTAAAACATCACTACTCTACCACAAACTACGACTTGCGTACTCCTCGACTAAGACAATTACACTACTGGTAAAACATAGCGAAAACGAACGCAGGACGCGAGGAAAAATGGAGGCGGGAAGGTCACACCATAATCACATTCTATCTACATTAAATAATTTTTTTACGGATTTTATCCATACTTCGTAGAACGTACCATACGCTGGAGGTACTCCGGGTAAACTTAAACATCGAGACGTCAATCACGTCAGCCCTCGGTGACAGTGGCTCGCTTCTTGTGCTTTGTTTAATTGAGTAGTAGGTACACACACACAAACACAAACTCGTTGCTGGCGGACAGCTGTAAGGATTTTATCACACTTTCCCCAGAGGTGCCAACGCTTCTGTTACTATTTTTGACTGTAGCTTTATGTGCTTCAGTGGCCACTCACCATCAGGTCGTGTGTCAAAACCCCTACGATTATTTTAAGTTTTGCAAATGTCATTACTACATGTACGAGATTAATTTTAATAACTGGATGCACACGAGCTTATATATATATATATATATATATATATATATATATATATATATATTTTACTTAAGAAAGAAATCTAGGAAAGACACGGAAAATGGGGAAACATCCAGATAGGGGGGGTCTACTTCACTACTCGACTGGAAAAGGATCCTACCATCACGGAATATCAGTGTAAAATAACAGCATAGTGTTGCTGTATTTCGTTTGGTTAGTCATGAGAACCGGAGACCCTTTGTTTGACCTGGTGACAGCGCATCTTCATTATGATTCTTAATATGGAATAGATGCAGATATGTATACACGACAGCAGTTTGTCTTCTAAAGTTAACAACAATATCTGTTAGTCCGTTACTGACTTCGTTCAATATTCAAACTCAGGACATATGGTTTAAGAGGTATAATATGAACTACTGATTTACGTGGCACATGTATGTAACATTAGTGTTCATCGACATTTAATCGTTGTGTCATTCATCATTCATCATCTCCCCCTGGGCCTCTCAAAAGCCCTTTTTTGAACATAGGACTCCCCCATATGTTACTTTATAGGGGGGATAGTTGTCGTGGTTGTACACCGCAAGTTTTTTTATTACTCGCATGGTTGTGCTGCTATTAGGAAGATGCTGTTGCTCGTCTGTATCAGTTCCCTCTGCTGCCCGTACGACACCCACAGGGTGATATGGGGCAGTGGAATCTACAGCAAGGTCAATTCTACGCCAAGGTTTTAATACAATAAACTTTTTAATGCAACGTAGGTATACAGATTCCAATAGGAACTTTAAATATTTTAAGTGTTGAATATACTTTTATTATATAATATAATATACTTAATATACTTCTATTAATATTTTAAGTGTTTAATATTTTACTTTTAATGATATTTGTTATGAAGCAGTAGATGTATTAATACTGAAAAGTATTATTGTATTGTTGTGTTGAAATTGTACTATAACAACCGATACTTACGCATGTCATTACGTTCAGGCCTGATCGGCCAGTCACACAAACTTGGCAACAGTCAGCCTCGCCCAGGTGAGTCGGCAACGACGCCGTAACTACGATCGCACTGCGTTATGTGCCACAGTGCACTTTGTACACGCAGTCACAGACGATGCTAGTGTACAAACATGCAGGCCGATTTGATCTCTCCAGCTTTAGAGTTAAACGCGAATCTTGCCCAGCCGATCGCGGAATCGCTGACTCACAACGTTGCGTCAGTGCGCTTTGTTCGCGATCTCGTATATAGAATAGTCGACATGCCCGTTTTATCTGCATTTTTTTAGACTTCCGCACCGAAAACGGCACAAGCAACCCTCGGCAGTGCTCGGCTCGCAACTGTTTCAACTGTACGAAGGTTTTGTGTGTGCCTAGTTACAGATAATGAACCGTTTGGGTATATTTATGACATCGACAGTGATAGCTTTGTTTTAATATTATGTTAACATTTATCTATGAATCACATAACACTTTTTTAACTAGTCCATTCGCCAATCCAACAGCTTGTACCGCAGTGTTTCGGTCTATAGGTTAGGTATTCTTAGTTCGCAGAGGTGACAACGAATCTATAACCTTCTTCATTCAAAATCGGTAGCAGGCTAGCAGTTACCCATTGGCCGCGGTATCCACTTAATATCACGTGGCTTTTTAGTACGCTTGTCGCATCAGTTTTGTATAAAATGTATTGGTGTTAAATAAAAATTTAGCGCAAAATCTAATATAAAACGTCACAAATGGTTCATACAGTCACAGAATATACAGTAATTTAGTGCACTCGTCGCCACGATGTGGGTATTTTTGAAACAATGTTCATTATCCTTACCGTCATCGATAACACGGTTCTAATGCGATGCGGCAGTCGAACAAGTCCAGGCTTACTTCCTTGAACTGTTATTTATTCTATGGGTTTATGTCTGCTATAATATGCATGTAAATGCACACATTGCTTGCTAGGCACACTACTTTTAATATCTATGATGATAAAATTAAAATTTAAACTAACACAATGATTTCTTATATTTATGCGATTACTACACATTTAAATGAAACTACTTTTTGCGAATTATATCGCGTATAACAACTTATTTTATATTCCCGACTTTTCGAGTACTTGATAGCACCTATGGTTACGAGGAGGACTGAGGTGTTTCACGTCCCAATGACATTGATGCTGTATAGTGTTCGTCGGGAATATAAAACAATTTAATATAAGCGATAAAATCCGAAAAACTAGTTTCACTTAAACTAACAGAAATGCGTTAAAAATAAAAACCTTCAATTACCTATGTGATATTTTTAATATACTAAATTAAGGTTTATATTATGAGTAGATAACAATTCAATCAACTGTAGGTACTGTTATTGATCGAAGGTGCGGATTATTGATAAAATGCGAGAATAGTGGTCAAGTTGTTCCTTTGAAAGTTCTAACAAAAACCATCTGCGCAGTTCATAAGCGGTACCTACACGTGAAACTTTCAGAAAAGGAGACCGAGATTATAGGAAACACTGTATACTATATTTTACCTCATTCTTTTGCAAGCTAAATCCAATAGATGTAGTTATGTTTGTCTATTTTTAGTGTAGCTTCGACTCTGAAAAAGTTTTCACTTCAAAAAGTTTAAAGTACAATATTTCTCATGATGTATCAATGACGGGACTTCATCTGGGTTACATGATAACTTCAGCTCGTCTTGCGCACGGTTCCGCACGTTCTCATCCTCACAACGACACTTAACCTTCGTCTATCTTCAAAGGTCCTCTCCGTTTCGTTTTAAGGCCCATTAAATAATTAATAGCTTCGTCCGAAAAACTCAAGTGTTACGGTTTTAATAAGTGCGCAGTAAAAAGTGTTTGTTATTGTAAAGTTTTTGTCGAGAAGAAAAAACACGCTGGTGTTGCTAGGGACCTTTGACGAGGCAGCTTGTTGCATACCAGGTACTTTCTCTTCAGTTTTATTGAGGGCGACCTTCGAATAAATTTAATGCTTAAACTGAGTTAAATAAGTATTTTATTAGTATGTAGATACATTAGCACTGAAAATAAAAAAAAATACTCGAGACGTTTTACATTTTTTCTTCTTCACAAGTATGCTTACATATTAAGTAATTGAAATCGCGAAAGTTAAATTAATGTACCGGTTATTGAATTTACATAATGCTGCTGTTTCATTAAACGCTATCTGTTAATTGCTGCCTGCTGTAGGTATTCAAACGAGCGCGTCGGGTCGGGCGTGACAGGTCCGTCGCTCGCGTATCCACTTTTTGGGCACATTACAATGAGAACGCAATAAATTTGTTTCAAAATAGATAACTCAGAGGCCTGTGTCACTGCACTCTTCTGTCTAACAAATAGTTACAAAAAAAATAAGGATTGACGATTTGTTTTTCTGGCTGTGAGCCGATAAGGGCGCGTGTCGAAGCTCAGCGTTTCTCCCCACATGTTACGATTATGAACTGTGATGTGAAATGGGCATTTACTCCGACACTTCATTTATTCGCAATAAACGTCTAAAAGATGTGAACAAGTGATTGCTTCAATACTGACTATAGTCAATTACAGTTTATAAAAGTCCTTTGTTGAATTGCCTTCCATATACTTTGCGTGATAGGGATTTAGCCACAGTTGGCGTTGCAGTTGTGCAGTTGTGCAGTTGCACTTGGCAAGCGGGCCATCAGCCGCAGCTCTGTTACTGAGCTGTCGTCAGGAAGCCGCTGCTGCCTGTCACCTGCTTCAGTTTCCCTCGGTCGCCTCTCACGACGCGCACGGCTCGCTTTGGCTAGTAAATATTCTCACACAGTTGCAAAATAACTGCTCAGTAGTAAAAAACATAAAATATTCTGATAAACCCGCGTCAAAAACAGAGAATGCCATTGCTTAAGATAACGCTCGTCCTCCAAAATTTATCCAGCGGAGATGCGGAGATGCTAGCACGTTACATAACCCGGTGCACTCGACTAAAGAGTACCGACACTCGTAAGTGACCTCGGACGCGCGTAGAAACAAGATAGCTTGCGAACTTATTTCGTTCGCCGGATATCAATAGACCAGATCAAAAAAAGCAGCGAGCATAAAGTTGTAAGATACCCAAAGAGAAAGTAAACTTACCTCACACTGCGTTCACCTTCGGGCTGGCTCAGCAAAATATCAACTTGTCTCACTCGCCTCAAAACAACGCAGAGCCTAGAAAGATGAGGCTTATCGGCGACAAAAAGCTAGTGGAAACTAAGCTGCACAGCTTAGCTTACCGCCGCCAAGCCGCCGGCTTCACGAGGACATACCGCCATCTCAGTTTTCCTATCGGAGTACCAGACGTAATGCAGGTTACCATCCACACTTGACTGACATTCCGAACATTCACATTAAACGTTATAAGTCTTCTATCAGAATGTGCACAGCCAAGGCGTAGGATGCCCTACCAGCGTCTGTTTTTCCGAGTCTACTGCTGAACGTCTTCAAGGTG